CTCTGGTCCTGGGACAGGAAGAGCTTGGGGTGGGCGGTGTCTGGGTCCAGGAGCACGTCAGCTGTTCGGGAAGTCTGGGGGTGAGGCCTGGGGGCTCAGGGGGACCCAGGAAGCCGGGGGAACATACCCACAGGGTGGGACCTCCCTGAAGGCCCCGTGATCCCAGACCCCAGGCAGCTCACAGAGGAGAGCCCCTGCGGCTGCATGTCCACCTGCTGAGTGAGGGGGCGAGGCCTCAGGGAGAGCACACCTGGGCACTAAGTGAGCAGAGAGTTTAGCAAAGGAGCTGAAGTTAATGTCTCCCACTTTCTCTCCACATCCTGAGATGTGCCCCCTTTTCTATTACAAACAGATGGTCTCTGGGACTCTGTTTGGTTGCAGACTTCCCAAACCGGCTTCATACACGAGAGACCCTGTCCCCTCTGCCTCCCCGTGAAGCACTTCGGGCCACTCACCTGCCCCCAGAACACGGGACCTGCTGCCTCACAAGGAGACCCTGACCCCCTAGTCAGTGACGTCTGCTCCCTCCTCTGTGCCCCTTGTTCTTGCCCCAAACCCCTCAGGGAGAGGGTCTCCTGCAGGTGAGGCCCTACAGCCCCCCAGTTCATGGGTGGTTTTCTTTTGAACAAAGGATGTCAAACTCATTAACAAATCTTTCATTTTTGTCACTTGACAGGGCTGGGGAGACAGAAGAGCAGAAACACCTGCAGTTTCCGTTGGAAGGACCAGATGAATAAAATCCAAAAACTGTCACCAGCCCAGCTGAGCGGCCCTCACTGGGGCCTGGTCACTGCAACCTCCTCCTTCCGGCCTCTGCCCCAGTCCCTGCCCTGGCTCCTGTCTCCCTGAGACTCCACCACAGGCCCCCTGGGACCTGCTTTGCCCCATCTGGTCTGGGCCCCTTCCAGGTCCGCACCCCCCTCCTCCCATCCTCCCTGCACTCAGTCCCTCCACCCACACCTGCCTCCCGCGTTCCTCGAAACTGCCAGACGTGCTGCTGCCTCAGGCCCCGGGCACCTGCCCCTCCTGCTCCCTGGTGCTCACCCCTCACTTGCCCTGTTGTCACCTTTTTCTAAAGATATATTTTATTTATTATGCTATTACAGTTGTCCCCATCCGCACCCCCCGCACGCCCCCCACCCACATTCCCCTTCTTTACTTCATGTCCATGGGTCATACATATAGGTTCTTTAACTTCTACATTTCCCATACTATTTTTAACCTGCCCCTATTTTCTCCCTATCGTCTATGCTACTTATTCTCTGTACCTTTTCCCCTCCTTTGCCCTCCCACTCCCCTGTTGCTATCCCTCCATGTGATCTTCATTTCTGTGGTTCTGTTCCTGTTTTAGTTGTTTGCTTAGTTTGCTTTTGTTTGTGTTTTAGGTGTGGTTAATAACTGTGAGTTTGCTGTCATTTTACTGTTCATATTTTTAATCTTTTTCTCTTAGATAAATCCCTTTAACATTTTGTATAATCAGGGCTTGGTGGTGATGTACTCCTTTAACTTGACCTTATCTGAGAAGCACTTCATCTGCCCTTCCATTCTAAATGAGAGCTTTGCTGGATAGAGTAATCTGGGATGTAGGTCCTTGCCTCTCATGACTTGGAATACGTCTTTCCAGCCCCTTCTTGCCTGCAAGGTCTCCTTTGAGAAATCAGCTGACAGTCTGATGGGAACTCCTTTGTAGGTGACTGTCTCCTATTCTCTTGCTGCTTTTAAGATTCTGTCCTTATTTTTAATCTTGGACAATGTAATGATGATGTGCCTTGGTGTGTTCCTCCTTGGGTCCCATTTCTGTGGGACTCTCTGAGCTTCCTGGACTTCCTGGAAGTCTATTTCCTTTGCCAGAATGGGGAAGTTCTCCTTCAGTTTTGGTTCAAATGAGTTTTCAATTTGTTGCTCTTCCTCTTCTCCTTCTGGCACCCCTATAACTTGGATGTTGGAACATTTAAAGATGTCCTGGATGTTCCTAAGCCTCTCCTGATTGTTTTTTATTTCTTTTTTCTTCATTCTGTTCTGGTTGAATGTTTCTTTCTTCCTTCTGGTCCACACGGTGGATTAGAGTCCCAGTTTCCTTCCCATCACTGATGGTTCCCTGTACATTTTCCTTTATTTCACTTAGCATTGCCTTCATTTTTTCATCTAATTTATGACCAAATTCAACCAGTTCTGTGAGCATCCTGATTACCAGTGTTCTGAACTTGCATCTGATAGGCTGGCTATCTGTTTGTCACTTAGTTGTATTTTTTCTTGAGCTTTGATCTGTTCTTCCATTTGTGGCATTTTTCTCTTTTTGTCTCCGTGCACCTGCTTCATATAAGAGGTCCCATAAGGGAAGGAGTGTTCATGCATTTTGTTCCCTAATTTATCTCCTGTTTCTAGAACTGAGCCTTGAACACATGTGATCCTTGCTAAGTGTTTGATGAATGACTTTATGAGTGTCTGTAGATAAAGACTTTCCCAGCTCTGTGCTTGGAAAACCCCATGGGAAAGAGGGGAGGCTTCAGCATCAGCACCACCAGGTGCAGACAGCCCCCTGCCCCCACCACTCTCCACGGCGTGTGATTGTCCTGAACACACAACTGTAGCTGCAGCATCAGAACCACAACAGGGAAAATGACCAGATTTACCCTCAGAAAAGAGGCTCCTCCTCCTGGGATGGGAGACTCTGTGATGCCCCCTGTGAGGAGGGGAGAGGCCTCAGCTCAGCTGCAGCCTGAGTTCCTCAGGGCCCAGGACCCTCCCAGCCCTGCCCCTCCCCTCCCCCAGCCCCACTCAGGCTCCCAACTGTCTGCTGAGGGTCCTATGTCCACGGGCTGGGCCCCCAGAGGGCAGGGAGCTGACCTGGAAGGAAGACCCCAGAGCCCCTCTCCTGGCCCAGCAGGTGTTACTGACGGAGCAGGGCTTGTCTTCACAGAGCTGTCCCTGATGGTCACGGCCATGGTGACCCTGCAGAGGCCATCTGTGTCCTCAGTCTGAGCTTCCTCCAGGGCGGGCATGGGCTCACCCTAGGGACCCCCTACACTGCTCAGGGCTCTGGGTACCACCCTGTGGAGGTGCATCTGACCAGACACCCCCATCCTTATGGCCCTTCATTTCAATGAGGGGCAGACCCTACATCTGAGAACAAACAAAAATATCTAAAATGTTTAATTCCAAAGCATGTTCCTGGTGAAGACCCTTAGAAATCTCTGAGCAGCAGCAGGGGCTACTCCGTGGGGTCCCATCGTCTCCCCTGCTCACGGCCCCACTGAGCTCCCTGTGCTTCTCAGGACTCCATGCCCACAGCTCAGCAGGACACACCCAGTCACTCGGCCCTCGGGCAGGAGGAAGCCCCCTGCCAGGGTAGAGGGGTCCTCGACAAAACCTGCTGGTCTGTGGGGGTCCTGAAGTGCCGAGAGAAACTATCCCCAAGGGTCACACAGTGAAAAAGTCACCAAAGAGAAATAAGGGACCTGCCACCCTCAGGCACAGAGTGGCCTCACCTGAGGATCTGGCTGGTTGGAAATGACAGCGGTCGATGGCGTTGTCCTGGGCTGTGACACCATGAAGGAGCAGGGCCACCCTCCCCTGCTCACAAAGGTTGTTCGTCCTCGGCACTGTCTCCACTGGACACTGCAGGTAGCGCACGAGCACGGGCCCCACCAGCAGTGACTCCACCCCTGGGACCCTGTCCCCATGTCGTTCCCCTCATCTGACTTGTTCCCTCACATCTGTCCCTGCGAGAACGACCCCAGATGTTCCCAGCCTGGAGGGTCTCAGCCCTTCTGACAGCAGCAAGAGGGGCCACCTGGGTCCCGTCACTGCAGGGAACTCAGCTCTGCCGGCAGCCAGAGTCAGCAACGCAGACTCGTCCCTGGATCACCCGAAAACAACAACAAACACACAAACAAGAAATAGCAGCCTGCAGACACCTTAAACACAGTCTGGCGAGAGCGGTGCTGGATTCTGACCCAGAGAATTGTGAGATAACAGATTTGTGTTGCATTAGGTCCTGAAATTTATACTATTACAGCAAAAATAGAAAGTTCATCCAATAAGCATTGGGAAGAATGTGCCAGGGAACTAAACTGTGACCCTGGTGAGTCATCCACGGGGTTAGATCCTGAAAGAGGTCCCTTGAAGCGTGACAATTATTGACAATTAATTTACACACGTGACCTGACACCCACATGCAGGGCGAGGAAACACACAGTGAACAATCACAGTGACGATGATGATGAGGAAGAGGGGCCTTTCCCCAGCACCCACAGGTGACAGGAACCTCGGGAACCTCAGTGGAGGGTCAGCGGTGGGCATCCCTGTCCTGGACGTGGGTCCCCCCGTGTGATGGAACTTCCACTGACATCCGTCTGCCCCCTCCCCCCCACCGTCCTGCTCACAGAGGACCTCCAGGTGGGAGGTGGGGGGGTGGGTCTGCTCTGTGCCCACAGGTCACAGGCTGGTTCAGAGAGTGGCCGCTGGTCCCTTCTCAGCCTGTGTGATGGGGTCACTGTGAGTTCATTCCCTGCACCATGGCGTCCTGCAGAGCCAGTCAGTGAAGGTTGCACCATGGCTCTGACAGTCGACCTTGAAGGATCCAAGTGGGTGTGGCCTTCACAGTCACCTGCAGTGACCTTGACCCTTGGTGCCCTGGGAGGGACCCTCAGGGCTTCCCATGACCCTGCCCAACAGGACAATCAGCTGCAAAGGGACAGATGGGAGGGAGGGGCAGGGGATGAACATCATTCAGCACTAAAATCTATGTGAATTATGTACCTCAGTGAACTGCCGCTGCCTCAGTTTCCACACTTTCATAATGAGGCTGCCTCACAGGGTTTCTGAGGATGAGGTATATTCACCTGAAGCAGTTAGCACAGCACTAGGACATGTGAAGTCACCTATAGATGTCAGCTCTGGTTGTTCGAAGCCAGCTGAGTCACCTTTAAATGTTAATTTACTGTCTGTATAATGATCTCCTTATCTCTCGTGGAAAAATTGAATGAATATTATTGAAGTCCTTCACTCAGTGTGTTTTATTAAGTATTTTCTGGCTGTGATGTTTTGCTGGTAAGAAGGCCCTCACCGGCAGGCTAGAAGGCTGAAGCAAAGAGGATGCTTCAGTTGGAGAGTCGCCAATCCCAGCAGCTGATCCCAGGACCACTACAGTCTCTAGGATAGGGTCAGACACTGGGTCAGACACACGGGTCATTCCCACTGGTTTCTGTGCTGGGCAAATGGTCAAGGGAGTGGGCTCAAATGTCAAAATCCAGAAAACAGGCCTCAGAGGCCCAGAGAAGCGGGTGTGTGGGAAGGTGAAGATGTGAGACCCGTCGAGGGCATTGTAGAACGAGACCTCCCCCAGCTCACAGTCCAGGAAAACCCCCACCCTCTCAGGGGGGCTCACACAGGTCAGTGGGGTCTGCGGGTTGGTGAGAGCCAGGTAGTGCTTCCCAGGATTCAGCCCCACTGTCCAGAATCCACTCTTGGGAGCCATTTGATCTCCACCTTTCCTCCTCACATCCTCCCTGCACACCCCAACACACCACTGTGCCCTGTCCCCCACCTCCACCTCCCAGAAGTGTCTCCCTGACGTGAAGCTCTCACAGCCCAGCACACACTCATTCCCGCAAAATCTCCCGGGGTTGTCTGGCAGGTTCTGCCATGTGTCTGCCCGCTGCAGGCTCCTCTTGTCCTCAGAAACACGGAGGGTGGGGTGCGCCGTGTCTGGGTCCAGAAACACATCCGCTGCAGGGGGTCAGAGGGCGTGGGGTCAGCCATGGTGCCCGGACCTCAGAGCCTCAGACTTCCAGGCCTGGGTCTGGGCAGGAGGCCCAGGCCCACAGTCCGGGGTCCCCAGCCCACCCTGGACGTGACCCTCAGCCATGCCAAGGAAACCACAGGGGTCTTGTGATTGGTGAGAAAGGGGAGGGTGAGGAGGGTTGGGATCTACCAATTTCTGTTTCTGCCCAAAATGTCCATGTCCACCTGTTCTGTACAATCAATGTGAGCCCTGGCTCTACCCTGAGCTGGAGGACGTCCTTTCCTGCATATTCTCCCTTCCCACAGACACCAGCTTCAGAATATCTCAAGTTCAATTTACTGTCTGTGAAGTGAGGGTAAAACACTGATCTCTGGGGAGGAATAGGACAAAGGGGTGGTATACTGAGCCCCAGGCTGGGCACAGAGGAAGTGCCTGCTGTGACAACAGACACCATGTCCCTCCTGTGCTCGGGGCCAGGCTGGGGCCCCATGTGCTCTGGGGTCCACTCCCCACCTGTCCCACCCCCTCTGGCCCAGGAGTCAGGTCTCCAGGGACAGCACCCCTGGGCCCCTGGGGTCTGGTTACTGTGGGGTTTGGCCAAGGGGAGGCGCAGGCTGGACACGGGAAGGAGGGAGGAGAGGGGGCACAGGGCTGACCCCCACGTCCCCCAGGGAGATGCTCCACCCCAGCACCTCCCTCCAGGAGCTCCCCCTGAGCCCCAGCTGCCTCACTGTCCTCAGCCAGCACACCAAAGCCTCCAGGTGACGGTCATCCGTGTCCCTTAAACACGGCCATGAGCACTTTTGTCAGTAACAGCCAGAGTGACAGGAGCACTGAGGTCAACTCCACACTGGGGATCGTGTGGGTTATAAAGGGTCACCTGTCACAGGACCACCGGGAGGTGTGGCTGGTGCTGCCCCATTCTTTGTCCCTGTTCCTGTCAGTCATCAGTGCCCGAGTCACAGTGTGAGAAAGTGCTGTAAGGGGTGTGTTGTCAGGGAACAATCTGTGCAGGTTGCGGGGGTCCTCTGTCCTCTCTGACCCTGCACCCCTGGGAGTGAATCACCCTACAACACAGTCTGTTTTATTGTAGAAGTTGCCCACATTGCTTTTTAGTCCTTCAGATACCTTCTCCTCTTCTTGGTCATTAATGTGATACAAACACCCCCTTCAAACAGGCCGTCTGTTTCCTGCGGGTGTTCTGACAACACACAGTCACCTCCTCACTCGGTCCTTGTCCCAGCCCTCACAGAGCAGCAGTGACTGTGGAACACGGCAGAACTCGGGGACACACGGGGGCAGGAGGGCAGTAGCCTGGTCAGGTCCCCCCTCCCTCTCCCTGCAGCCCCTCCCCCGAGTCCCGCCCCTCCTGCCTCTTCCTCCCACAGAGACCTGTGGGCCCCAGGACACCTGCTGTCCCTGGTCCCTGGGCTCTGGGCAGCAGGTGGGGACACCTTTGAGGCCTCAACCTCAGGTCACCCACCAGAACTGTCCCAGTCAAGAGCTGGAGAGGAAAGAGGGAGCAGGGGCCCTTGGGGGTTGTCCTGGGGACACAGAGGGACCCACTCACCAGGCTGGAAGAGGGCCATCTTCAACTCTGGAAGGAAGGAGACACAGACAAGGAAAGGTCATTCTGTCTGTCCCCCCCCCACCACTGTCCTCACTGAGCCTCTTCTCTCTCCTCTCCTCAGTCCCCTCCAACGTCCACTCCCCTCATCTGCAGCTGTGCGGGCCAGGCTGAACCCTCTCCCAGTGCTGTGCTTCCCTCCATCCCGCTGGGGCCGTGGGGACACGCCCAGGCTGTGCCGGGTGTGGGCGTGGGTGTCAGCAGGCTGAGGGGACACTGGGTGTGGAAGGTCCTCTCTGAGTGACCAGACAGGAGGGGGCGGTGCAGACACAGAGAATGAGCCTCTGAGCCGGACGGGATGGCCCCTCCCCCAGCAGGAAAGGCTGCAGGTGCTTCCCCCACAGGAGCCAGGAAACCAGGGAGCCTCAGGCTCACTCACCTGCATAGGCCTGAGACCGCTCCTCACCTGCAATGGAGACAGACGGTCACCTGAACTGTCCTTTCTGAGTCGGTTCCTTTCTCTCCCTTGTGCCCCCCTGTCATCTTCCTGTGTGCCCCCCACCCTCCCCACCTCCCCTCTGTCTGTTCCCTCCCCGGCGCCCCCTCCTCTTTCCATCAGCTGCAGCTCAGGACCCCCAGGCGCCCTGCACCGGCTGTCCCAGGGTCACCACACAGCTGTCCTGTCAGTGTCTGTGCAGCAGTCACCTCTCATCCCTGCTTTAGCTTCTGAAGTTTCAGTGACCTTCTGCCAACCACGGTTGGGGATAGTGAATAAAAATTGCAGAAACTAACAATTCATGAGTTTTAAATTGCACATCACTCTGAGCAGCGTGATGAGGTCCCCTGCTGTCTGCTCCGACCTGCCCCTCATGAAACTACCCTGGGCCCACCCACCCTTAGTCACTAAGGAGTGTCTCTGTGAGACATGGACGGTCCCAGTGTCACAGCGCTGGTGTTCTGTCACCTTTATTTTACTTAATAATGACCCCAACGTGCAAGAACAGTGACGCTGTGATGGTGGTGTGCCAAGGAGAAGCCTTCCTTTACGTGAAAAGGAAAAACCTCGTGTATTCAGGGTTTGGTGCTCTCTCTGGTCAGACAGCCCCTGGGGCACCTGGACCACGACCATCTCATATAAGCGATGATCAGGTTCTCCAGGAGCTGAGTGTGTCTGTGCACACGCTGCCCTGTGTACACACGCGTGTACCTGTGTGCTGGGATTCATTCCCCTCAATCTGCATTATTTCCTGCCTACTCCGGAAACAGCGGGGCAACCTAATGAGAAAATTTCAGATACTATTTTTCAGCAGTGACGATAAATCTGTGACAACTGACACGGCAACTCCTGTTTTTAAGACACTTCTCTCTCCTTCGGCCTTTCTTTTTGGTGAGCTACAGAGTTTGTGAACCAAGCAGGGAGGGAAGGACTCACAAACTGAGTCATATCCCTCTCCCCCTCCCCCTCCCCCTGTCCTTTCTGGGGTTCCCAGGGTGTCCCGCTTGCGTGTCCCCTGGTGGAGAGACCCCAGCCCCTTCTGCACTGAGACTGACCCCTCCTGGTACCCCCATCAGTGCCCTCATTTCTTCCCCGGGGAGGTTAGGAGTGAAAAAAGGGCCTGAAATATCAGAACCCAGAAGCTGAGATGCAGGTCCGGGTACTCACGTGGTAGGTACGGGATCCTTGTCCACCCTGCAGGGAACAACGTGGGGGGTCAGTGACACGTGCAATGCAGGGTCCCAGGACTTGTGAGTCAGGGATCGCCACTTACTCAGTTTGTCCTGTAGCTTCTCTGGAAATACACAGAAAAAGAATCTCCTGTAAAGGGGATTGAATAGAGGACCCACGTGGTGGGTGTGGGCAGGAGCAGAGAGGTGACGGCCACCTGCCGGTGACTCACCGTTCACGCTTCGCTCCCTCTCCTTCTCCTGGGACAGGTCCTGGATCTTCTTGTGCTGTCGCCACAGGAAGTAGCCGGCCACCACCAGCAAAGCCGGCAGGGTCACGCCAAGGGCCACCACCCAGGGCTGCGCGTTCGGGAAGAAGGGGCCTGTGAAGGGTGAGCCTCAGCTGATGGCCACCCTGGGTCTCAGAGTATCTGGGGACTGAAAACAATCGTTCTCTCCCCAAAGTGCCCAGAACTTTCACTGGCACGTAACACCGTTGTCTTGAAGTAACTGCCTCTCACGTGGGAATATTTTGAATATAAAAGAATGTATACAAAGACATTGATATCTGTCTACTCTTCCTCCCTCTGCAATTTATTATCTCCTTCTGAGTCACTTTATTCTGGGGATTAAGAACGTGAAGTTCGGGACTGCAGGGTCTGGGCTCCAATTCTGGGTCTTCCACCTGACTAGCTCTGTGACCTTGAACTAATGACTTAAGCATCTGTTCCTGATGGGTAAGAGATGGGCACTCTCCCAGGGTGACGGCCATGCAAGTTTTATTAAATTGTAAAAACATAGATACAGTTTTATTTTCTCTTGTTCACACCACAGACCGCACTCCACACCAGCGGGTCCACAGGTTGTTCTCTCTGCTCCCCTGGGTCTGGGCGACCTTCCCCCCTCAGCACAGGGGGCAGGTCTGTGTCTGCTCTCACAGGGCAGCGCCCCCTGCACACACGGCCCATCGGGGGCACTTGCACCGTCTCTGACTCTTTGTTGTTACAGTTAACGGTGCAGGAAATAACCTTTTATATGAGGCATTTCACACAAATTCAAGCTGATCTGTCAGATGATTTCCCAGAAGTGGGTCTTGCATAACTGAATGAGCACTCTGGATATGGTGGCTCTGGTGTCCCCAGTGGGAGTTGTGCTTATTGACACCAAACGACACCAAACAGTAGCCACAAACCTCTAAGAATCACCATCTCCCGACAATTCCACCACCAGAATGTGTCACCATCACCTCGTTTTTTCCTGTGTTGCCAGTCTCACAGGTGGGAACCATATCCCTAGACAGTGAGACTTGACACCATTTTGTGAGTTAATTTCTTTTCTGTGAACGGATAATTCCTGTCCTTTGTTCATTGTTCTACCGGGTTGTTTTATATTTTAAGGAGATCAGCCTTTTTCTAAGATTTGCATTGTACGTATCTTTCCCCGTCATCTCATGTCTTTGCTGACCTTGACCATTTGTCCCCAGTTCCCATCCCCTGGCACCGTGTGTGGCCGCAGGAAGTGATCAGAAGGTGCCTGTGACACAAACAGCTTCATGGGGAAGGAGCAGCAGGTCCCTGCTCTGTCCCTTCTGTTCCCTGCAGAGACCCAGGTCAGCAGCAGACAACCACACCTTCCCTCAGGGGCAGTACAGAGCCCAAGGCAGTGGGCAGAGCACTCACCTGGGATGGAAACCCTGGCTGACCTTTCCTGGCCCAGCAGGGGGTTTCTGATGACACAGGAGACCCCCTCCCCAGAGCCACCTTCCAGGATCACAGAGGCTGAGGCTGCATAAAGGCCCTGGGGGTCTCAGGCTCTGTGGCCACCTCAGCAGACAAGCTGTGTCCCCTGGTGTCTCTCCACTGGATCTGGGGCTGCGGGTACCAGCCGGCAGACGTGCACTCCACACGGATCCCTCCAGCCCCGTAGCCCTTCATTTCAACGTGGGGGTCAGAGCCCAGCGCTGGGGAGGTACAGTGAGTCTGAATCATGGGGAGCCCTCTGCACTGGTGGGGGTCTCCACAGCAGGGAGGGCCACACACACCCTGGATGACTCCAGGGGCATTCACAGGAGCTGCTCCCAGAGTGTGCTGTGCAGGAGAGACTGACCCACAGTGTGACCACTGCCTGACCATCGCTGGACCCTGGTGCTGGATCCAGGGGGATCTGGACCAGAGCAGAGGTTGTTTCCTGTAAATCCCATTACAGACTGCTGGACTATCCCCTCCCCCATGGCCCAGACTTGCTGGTCCTTGGAACAGCCCCTCACCCCACCCAGGGCAACCAGGTAAATTCCCTGTTATTGAAGCAAGTCCCACCCAGTGCCCCATCCTTCCTGCCTGTCCTGTGTGAGCCTCTGCCCTGCTGTGTGGAGGGAGGATCAGCTCTTTGTCTTCCTGCCACCCTAGCTGTGTGTTATGTGTATGTGCCCTCAGGAAACTCCTGCTGTGATTAATGCTGGAGTGTCAGCTTCTTCCTCTAGTGTCTTGACCAAGGAGGTTTCTATCACGTGTCTCTGAGAAGGGGAAACCTTCTCCACAGAGGAGCGCTGACCCAGGCAGGAACTGTGGGGTTTTTACTACCTGACACTGAATCCCTAAACACAAGGGGAGCAGGAGTGAGTCTCTTGCAGCCCTGAGAGGACAGAGTCCTGTGGGGAGGACTCTCTTCAAAGGACCTGTGGTCTACAGGGAGGGACAGTGTCTGGCTCAGGAGGCCCTGCAGGGAAAAGCCAGGACCCCCCACAGTCCATCCCCTGCCAGGCTCCCCAGGGACCCACCAGGCAGAAGCCCAGGGCGGGGCTGTGTCCTGAGAAGGTGAAGTGCAGCCCTGACACCCGGACACGAGCACTTTCATGGGGCAGCACCTCACACAAGGTCACTCTGTCCCTGGGACGGGTCAGGACAAGGTCAAGACAACTCAGCAGCCGGTATGAGCACAAAGGAAGCAGGAACAGTGTGCAGACCTCAGCAGTGACCACCCTCCCTGTCCTGGCTGGGAGTGACCCATGACACCCCTGCACCTTCCTGACAGCATCCAGCCCAGAGCAGAGCCCTGCTTCCACACCCCCCCAAGTCCCCTGACAGCCCAGGGGTCACACCAGATCCTCCCTGACACCCCCTCTCTGAGACACCCCGGTTTCCTCCCCTGTGCGTCCCCCCTCACTGCTCCAGGGATGGACACACCCTGTTCAACTGCACGTGTGTCCCGGGGCCTTTGGTTGGAGGGTGTGGGCACCGCAGGTGCTGTCCCTGCAGCTCAGCCCCCTGGACCCACAGCAGCGGGCACCTGGGGGCCCACGGCCACTGTCTAGGACATGCTGCACCCAAACACCTGTGTGCCACCCACTGTGGGGGGGTGTCCTCCTCCTCCTTCCTGTTCCCGACCTCCACTTCCCTGCTGAGACCTGGTGGGCAGCGTGAGGGACTCTTTACTGGATGCAGGAGGAGCCCTTCCTGGGGGACGACCTGGGTCTGTCAGGGGCCTCAGAGGAGCAGGGAGGGGGGTGGGGGGGCAGGTGCTGGCGAGGAGCAGGGAGAGCTCTCAGGTGGGCCTGGAGCCTCTGCCCCTGACCCCACAAGAAACAAGCACAGATCAAACCTGAGGCTCACCTGAAACCTTCAGCTCCACCTGGGCTTTTGCATAGAAATCTCCATCTTGGAAATAACACAGGTAGGTTCCTCTGTCAGAGGCTCTGATGTCGAGAATCTGGAGAGCAGCCTTCCCCACAGTGATGTCCTCTCTTAAAATCGAAGTTCTCCCTCGATACTCTGCTGCCGGCGTGTCCTCCTGCCCGTGTGCGTACGTGTGCACTACCTGCCTGGGGCTGGGTCGCTCCCACGTCAGCTCCATGGTCTCAGCGCTCATCTCCGGGGACAGGTGACAGGGCAGCTCAGCGTCTTCACCCACCATGGCCAGGATGGGCTCGGGGGGTCCAACCACAGCAAACTGAGCTGGTCATCAGAAGGGGGGCTCCGTCAGAGGGAGCTGGGGCCAGAGGACCAGGGGGTGCCCCAGCAGGGAGGGCGAGGGGAGAGACACCTAGACAGGAACTCAGTCCTCACACAGGTGCGTCTGGACGGTCTTGCAGGGGTGGGGGGAGTCCAGGGTTCTGACTGGTCCCCAAGGGAAAGGCTTCAGGTGCACGAACGCAGAGCAGGTCCTACCTGAGCAGGGGCTGAGCAGCTGGACCACGGCGAGGCAGACAGGGAGGGCAGGCAGACGGGGGACCAGGTGCCTCACCATTGTTCCCTGCTGGGCAGAGAGAGACACCAGGAGGGGCTGGGTAGCAGTGACGACCTGGGAGAAGGTGGAGAATTCCACATGGAGACGCTGCCTCCCCAGGTGTGACAGGGAGCACGTAACCATGATCCCTGCTGACGGAAGAGCCTCCTCTGCAAATGTCTCCTGGGGAGTCTCTTCACCTTGGACTCCAAAATGGAAATCATGCATGAAACATGGAACTGTAATGCACATACCGTAACCCTCACCTTCCAGGAGTCAGTCCTCAGACCTCCTGTGCGAACGTGCTCAGAATCCCTCCACTCACCCTCAGTTCCTGCCACAACCAGGTGCCCTCCCCCAGCATCACCCTCTGAGGAAGGCAGGCCCTTCTGCTCTGAGTCCCCGATCTCTCTGCTGCCCCCTGCAGGCCATGCTCCACACAGCAGCCAGGACGTCCTGACCCCTCCCCTCCCTCCTGCTCAGCCCCTCCCAGGGGCCCCCATTCCATCCACAGCAGAAGCCAAATCCTTTGCACCCTGTACTTTTACAATTACCTGAATGTTTTCACTTAAAATTTTTTATAAGTTGGGAGTACAGTTCCACATATTTTGAGAATATTTATTGTTTTTTAAATTTCTGATTATACACAAAATAAAATGAAAAATAATAATACAAATTAAATAATTCATAATGGTAACCTTATACTTTGTTTTACAGAAATATTAATATTATAATATTTCTGGTTGGGTTTTGGGCACACATAAATGCCAGATGCCTTAAAAATGTACTGTACTTTGAGTACCAATTCAATAAGCAGGAATTACTCCAAAGGAAAACAGATCAGGCTTTAACAAACAGAAAGACTTATGTTTAATGCTGTTCATCACAGGAAAATCTACAATAACAAATAATTGTAGATACAGTTAACTACACAAATGGGATCCAAGTTTGTTACCATTATAAGGAGAATTCTTTATTTAAGATGGGATCACTAAACCTACAATTAACTTAATACTGAATGGTGAAAATCTGGAAGCTTTTCCTCTAAGTTCAGGAATAAGAAATAGATGCCCACTGCTACCACTTTTACCTAATACAGTAGTGGAAGTCCTAGCCACAGCAGTGAGTCAAGACAAAGAAATGAAAAGCATACAAATCATAAAGGAAGAAGTAAAATTCTTACAACTGGTAGATGACATGATACAATACACAGAAGAACCTGAGGACTTCACACACACACACACACACACACACACACACAGAACTAGTAAATGAATCCTGTAGCACTGCAGGATACAAAATCAGAAACCTGTTGCATTTCTATACCCTAGTGATGATTCATCCTAAGAAGAAACTTTATAAATATCTTTACATTTTCATCAAATGCATAAAATACATAGGAACAAATGTAAGGGAAGAGGTGGCAGACCTGTGCCCTGCCAACTGGAATACGATAAGGAGGGAACCTGGAGGGCACACACATCAGTGGGAGGACACACTGAGCTCGCAGGTGGAAGGGTTAACACACAGAGTGTCCTCAGGGCTACAGCAGCTCGCAGGTTCCAGCAAGGCCTAGGAAAACACCAGGGGTCTTCTTCTCAGAAGTAGGGCGACTAACCCTAAACTTGCTACGGGTCCAGAAAGACCCCACAAAGCCAATCAATCTTGAGAAAGAAGGAAGTTGGAGGTGTCACCCTGTCCTATAGCAACGTTACAGCATAAACACAGACTCTAGTTCAACGGGACCGAGCAGAGCCCGGACAGGAGCCCTCACTCACTTGGTCAGTTAGTCTGTGACGACGGAGGGAGGAGCGGACAATGAGGGCAGGAATCTCTCAAAACCATGGGAACACTGGACAGACACAGGAGAAGCAATGTACCCAAATGACTCTCTTGTACCACCTGCCAGGAAAGGAAAGTGGATCGGAGATTTAAGGAAAACCTGAGACCAGAAAACCGGGAGAAAACACAGGCGATGAGGACGCTGTAGCTCTGCTTGTAGTGACGTCCCTTTGGGTGAGTCTCCTCTGGCAAGGGCAAGGAAGGACAAACAAACAGATGGGACCATGACCAAATAACAAGTGTTTGCACAGCACGGGAACCATCAACAAAACAAAAAGACAATGTACTAAATGAAGAAGACATTTTCCAATAATGCAATTTAAAAAGTGTTTAACCCTGGCCGGTGTGGCTCAGTGTGTTGAGTGCCCACCTGCGATCCAAAAGGTCACCAATTCGATTCCCAGTCAGGGCGCAGGCCTGGAATGTGGGCCAGGTTACAGCTGGGGCCCTGCGAGAGGCAACCGATCGATGTTTCTCCTGAACTCCAATGTCTCTCTCCTCTTTCTCCCTGTTTTTCCCTCTCTCTACAAATAAGTAAATGGATACTTGAAATAAATAAATTAAATAAAATGCAGATAGTAATTAGACCTACTTTTTAAAGAAGGCTTTCATTTGGAAAATGTATACAGAGCTCATATAACTAAACACCAATAAAAACAAACAATCTTGTTTAGAAAATGAGCAGTGGACCTGAAGAGACAGTTTTCCAAAGAGTCAGTGCAGACGCATGGACTGGAACCCGCTCTGTGGTCAGACAGTGTGTGTGGATTCTTTCTCCAACTGTCCTGTATGGGGGGGTGTTCAGATTTTTCATTTTACAAATAATTTTGTAATGAATGTCTTTACATATGAATCTCTTTTCTAATCCTCACCTGAAGGCATTTTTTTTCATTGCTTTTTGAGAGAGAGAGGAAGAGGGAGAGAGTAGGAGGTAAATAGAGGAAGAGAGTGGGGCAGAGAGAGAAGCATCAGTTGATTGCCTCTCACAGGCACCCAGCCTGTGGTTGGAACCCGAGATCTAGGTTCCTGCCCTGACCAGTAACCGAACCCCCATCCTTTTGGTGAGTGGGACGATGCTCCAACCAACTGAGCTACACTGGCCACGTTTGTACAATAAACCTTTAAGATGAACACCTGGTAACCCAATCATTCTTTCCACATTATTTCTGTAAATGATGACCTGCTCACTTATATGTGACTCAGATAAACAGCCAGTTTGCTGAAGAATTCCAGACACTAACTTCAGAAGGAGCTCAGTCCACCCTCAGACATTCAGCTCTGGGAGATTTGCTGACCTGACCAGTCCTCTGAACAGGCTGTGTCTGCACATTGTCCCCTGGATGCAGAACTCTCAACACCCTCCTTTCTGTGCTTTTTGTTGTATATTTTTGTTTTCCTCCTTCCCTCTCCTTACAAACACCCCTGCCTGTGTCCATTGTTCAGATGGTCTTTGAGCTGAGACCCCATCAGCTCAAGCTGCAGGACCTTGAATGGACCTGCTTTACTCCCACAAGTTCCTGTCTCTCCGCTATTGGTTTATAGGCAGGAGGTAGCCAAACCTGGATTCAATATCAATGTCTCTTCTTGAATGCCCTAGAACACCTTCCCTGAGAAGAGCAGGAGACACTGTAGGAGGTCTTGCTCTTACTTCAGGAATTTCCTAGGGAGGGGCAGGTGTCCAGCTCCCTGGTTCCCGTTGTCTCCCTCCCACAGGTGTCCCAGTGCAGACCTTACCTGCCCTGCTCCACACTCCCCCTGTGCCCTCACCTGCAGGCTCACAGCACGACACTCCTCTGCGTGAGGGACACCCTGCAGGCACCCCCAGCGCCGCAGCCTCTCTCCTAAAGGGACCTGGCTTTCACCAGCTCCTGGTAATTAACCTTTGCACTCTCAACTGAAAATCACAGAGCAAAGGTACTCGAGGGTTATTTTATAGGTGAGTCTCTGATATGGATGAAAGGGTGGGGAAGGAGAAGGGTGCTCAGCAAGGGAAGCAGGGCAAAGTTCCTCTTTGAAAACACTTGTTCTCTGACTGGCTCATAGCCTGGGTCTCATCAGTTGCTGGGCAGAAACCAGCGGTCAAGGTTGGCATTAACAGGGACCCCAAGTTGAATGGACCAGTGCAGACCCACTCCAGCCCTGACTCCCACCCTCTGTGTCTCTGTGTGGTCACCTGCGTGAATCAGTCCTGGGTGTGGGTGTGTGTGAGCAGTACCTCACTGTACACACCTGCATCATGGAACTTGTGTCACAGTGTGTTTAGCAGAGGAACCAGGACAGAGCAGCAGAGGGCAGTGTGGGAGCAGAGGAGGGTGCAGGAGTTACAGGGTCACTGTGGTCCTTGGCTAACACCTTTGACAGCAGAGCCCCGTGCAGGTGTGACAGAGAGAGGGCAGGCCCCGCCACCTGTCCTGGCCCCTGTGACACTCAGGTCTCAGATCCACTCCCAGGCAGTACCGCGTTCAGGTTCCCACGGGCGGTGCTGTCAGGGGCCGATGGGCAGGTTCCAGGTTTTCCAGGGAAGGGTCATGGGGGCATTGCTGAAAGGGTCCATCCACCCTCTGCCCCTCATCTGAGCTGCACCTGGGTTCCAGGTGTGCTCACTTCCCTCTGCTGCAGGGTCTGTGTCCTCTGAGGTTGGATGGGAGAGGCTGTGAGTGTGTCTGTCAGGGGACTTGGGGACCAGCAAGGTCTACCTGTGGCCTGGGGCCTCCAGAGACACTGTGTTTAGGTCTCAAGGCTATGAGTTGAGCCCCCAGGGCAGAGTGCGACTGTGGCTGATGGACTGTGATGCATTCCATCGTGTGAATGTGGGTTCTGGGGTGGACGTGGCTGCTCCCTTGTGCTACATCTGTTCCCTGCTGCTTCTCAGTGAACAAACCCAGTTTGGGAGAGACAGGTACAGCACTGTGCCCATCACCTTGTTGATGGGAGAGGCTGAGGGACTGAGTTTGAGCTGATAGCTTGCAGGTGTATGTTGTTGGTTGTGTTTCTCTAAAGAGACCCATGATTCTCCAACTCTTCCTTCCTCTTAGGTGGACACCACCTCTGGAACTGGAGCTCAGCAGCCATCTCATCACCAAGAGGCCACCTGGGGATGGACGCCACACAGGGAGAGGGCAGAGAATGGAGACAGGTGGAGGCTGGGGCGTGGATGCCTCTCTGAGCTCTCAGACCAGCTCTGGACCACCGCCCTCTGGGGTCATCTCCCATGAGAGGAACGTGGACCCGTGTTTAGCTGAAGCCCCTGGCACCTCTGGTCTCTGTTATCAGGAGCAGAACACGGTTCTTCCCGCCCCACCCCCTCTGTCAGCAGTTTGTCAGGAAAATTACAAGGTTTATATAGCACAGTTGAGAGAATGTTTCAATGAACATAAACCTACTGCTCATTTTCTACTAGTTTCTCTTTGTCCTTTTTTTTAAAACTGTCCTATAATTTTAAAAATTGAATGTGTTGGGTGATATTGATTCACAAAGCCATGCAGGTTTGAAGGGTACAATCCAATAAAACTTCATCTGCTCACTGCTTTGTGCACCTGTCATTCCAAGGAAAGTCCCTTTCTGTCCCCATTTTTTGTCCCTTTGCCCACCTCCATCCAACCCCAACACCCTTTCCTTATGGCTGTGACCAACAGTTGTGTGTGTGTGTGTGTGTGTGTGTGTGTGTGTGTGTTTCTGGCTCATTCCTTCACCTTCTTTCACTCAGTCCCCCACCCGTCCCTTCTGACAGCTGTCAGTCTGTCCCGTGCATCCAGGCCTCTGCACGCCCACTGTTGAGGGTCCACAGTGCACGTTTATAACACACGCTTATTTCATAGTCATCCATCCTTCTGTTGATGCCTTATGCTTACTCATCTGGAGACTTTTAAAGTAAGCTGGGAGCATCAGTACACCTTCCCCTGGGAACTTGCACACACCTGTCATGGAGAACTCATTCCTGAAATCTGCGAAGCACCGAAGCTGTGTTTAAAACGTGGATGTAGGAGTAATTTTCTGTCGTAATTTCAAAACACTCAGTGGACATCCCTCGCTTCTAAATGTCTAGTCTCCCTCCTTTCATGGACGGTCTGACCCAGGTCCCTGGCCCCTCCTCCTAAGATCAAGGCCACCTCCAATGTTCTGTCAGCAGGATGCTCTCCACATCCTGACACAGGACAAGCACCCACTCAGGCCCCTTCCCTTGGTCCCCTGGCATCTGATGACAGAGGTTCTGGCTTCTCCGCTGATGCCACAGCAGGGGACTGTCGTTCCTGGGGACCTGTAGGAAGTGGGCCTCCATGAATCCCTTCAAGATGGCAGTGTGAACCCTGAGAAAAAAAGACACCCACTAACAAGGGGTCTTGGTGGCTACCTGGGCTCACACATTGAAGAACAGAGCCTGGCGGCCATTTCTGCTCAGGGGTCCCTCCCACAAACTGGACGTCACAGAGAGGCCTGCACTGGGCTGCTGGCCCCCCGCACTGACCCTTTCCGCAGGTGATTCTTCCCGCTGAGCCCGCCCTCCTGCAGAAACGTCCTGGAGGCCCACTTCAAGCAATAGGACTCGGCTTTCAATTCCAGTCACAGGAGTGCAGCCCTGGCCAATCACAGTGGCTCAAACAGGACAGTGTCCTTCGGACCAATCAAACTGTAGATCTGGAGTCCTTGTTTGCTTGATGGCGGACCAATGAGGGACTAGGAATGGAATTTCTGTCCAGTTATTGGGCTCTTCTCTATGTCAGAGACGCAGTTTCTCTTCCCACCTGGGACTGAACCTGGAGCAGAGGGTGCACAGTTCTCCCAGGGCAGAGCAGTGGCGCAGAGCTGACTGGGGGCAGCTGTCCAGTCACTCAGTGGTCTGGTCCCTGGGCCTCTTGTCCCCAGGACAGTCCCACAGCCCCGTTCTCACGCCCCTGCTCCGTCCCAGTGGAGCCGGTTTGCACGGAGCAGATCCCCTCCCTGCCCCCCAGTCTGGGGGTCACTGTTGCTGTGGAATCGGCCGGGACCGTGGGCGCCGGCAGGCAACTGCGGAAAGGCCTGCGATGGGCTCAGAGGGTAAATACTGTGGGAGCCGGGCCCCGCGGCCAGAGCACTGGGGCTGCACGAGAACTCTCCCTGCCCGTGGTCAGGCCGGGGCGACAGGCGCGTCCCTCCCAGCCAACCCCACGGGGGACAGGGACTGACTTTCCTGCCCAGGTCAGGCTGCAGCCAAAGAGTGCTGTCTCACCCACAGATTCATCCACCGAAAGCTTTGCTGCTAGAAGTCGTATCAGTAAGAGGGACACACTCGAGGGTCATTGAAAGCATCACAGTTTCTCTGACACAGAGAAGCTCCTAGTCCCCAACCTGGATGGGACCTCCTGGGCAGATGGTTTTTCAGCTCTTGAGAATTTCCCGGGAACCAGGGTCCCAGGTGCAGTTCTCACCCAGACCTGTGGGTGGCGCTGGGAGGGAAATGTGTGTGAAATGGGTCAACATACACAGAAAGGTCCATTTTCACTAGAGAAAGCTGTGCTGTAGGTAAGGTCCCCTACTCTGCACGTGTGTGTGTGTGTGTGTGTGTGTGTGTGTGTGTGTGTGTGTGAGGGTGTTGTTAGCCCACAGGGAGGGGCCGCCCAGCAACGCTGGTCTCCACTGCGGCGAGGACAACGTCCGACTGAGTCAGGGCACCGAGAAGGCCGGTCCGGGCCCGGAAACAGAAAAGCAGGTGCCCTCCGATCCGACCCCGACATGACGAAGAGGAGCAGAGCGGGGGGAGGACCGCCAGGGCCACCGTCCAGGCAGGGGGGCTGGGGATGAAGACTCCTTCTGGAAGGAAGACTGGAAAAGTCCCAGTCAGTGAGACCAGGGAGACCCAGGTGGGAGCACCCCTGGGTGCACCTCTGAGGAGCTCGCCCGGGTCCCCGCTCTGTCCTCTTCCCTCTCAGGAGCCACAGTGGGGGCCAGGGCTGGGGGCTGATGCATACAATGCACACACGAGGACCCACAGAGTAGGGGCCGCCCCTGTGGCCCACACAACACACCCACACTGACATCTGCTGGGCGCACTGGAAACACCCCGTTGTCAGGGAAACAGACAGACGCCCAGGGCAACCCTCCCAGCAGCTCAGCCACTCACCTGCCCCCACACACAGGAGCAGCTGCCTCACCAGGACACCCCGACCCCCAGACAGTCAGGCCCCTTTTCTGCCTCTGCCCCCCTTCCTGTCGCCCCAAGTCTCTCAGGGGGGGCTCCCCCCCTGGTGAGGCCCTGCAGCCCCCAGTGCATGGACGGTTTTCCCTCAAACAGAAGCCGTCAGCTGGTCACCAAGTAGTTCTAGTTGTGTCACCTGTCAGGGCTGAGGAGACAGAGGAGCAGCAGCACCTGCCGTCCCCGTTGGAAGGACCAGATGAATGAAAACCCACAACCGTCACTGTCCCCGCTGAGCCGCCCTCACTGGGGCCTGGTTCCTGCAACGCCCTCCTTCCGGCCTCTGCCCCAGTCCCTGCCCTGGCTCCTGTCTCACCGAGACTCCACCACAGGCCCCCTGGGACCTGCTTTGCCCCGTCTGGTCTGGCCCCTTCCAGGTCCGCACCCCCCTCCTCCCACCCTCCCTGCACTCAGTCCCTCCACCCACACCTGCCTCCCGCGTTCCTCGAAACTGCCAGACGTGCTGCTGCCTCAGGCCCCGGGCCCCTGCCCCTCCTGCTCCCTGGTGCTCACCCGCCACGTGCCCTGTTGTCTCTTCTCCCAGGAACCTCCCCTCACCTTTCCAGTTCCATCACCGCTCCCCTTCCTCTAGCCCCCCACACACTGTCCCCGGATTAATTTTTCTACAGTACTTATCACCACCTGATATATTAGTTTAATTAATTATTTTACTCACGGCTTTAGTTAAGTGTTTTGTAGATTACTTTCTGTTTCCCT